AGTAATATATATATATATATATATATATATATATATATATATATATATTGCCGTAAACGCAATTTACAGCATTATCTGCAAAGCAATAGGACATTTAAATTTCAAAAACATAATTTATTTCGATATCCCTTTTTAATTTTTTAACTTTCTAAGGCATGATGTATCGTTCGAATTTTGATTTAAACATTGGAAGAGCCGTCAGACTTACTACGCGAGTAATACGCGTTCGATGCACTCACCGAATTGGAAATTTATACCATGGAAATACAAAAAGTAATAGTAAAATTGCATCATATTCATTAAACTCAATTAATAGTATTAAATACTTTATATTTATTTGATTCGTCTTTGTATTTTCTATTGTTATATGTTCATGTATGATTAGATACGAGCGATGCTTTGAAAATGAAGCTTAAGTTTACACGTCATGTTGTGCCGCGGGAAAATTAAATTTTTATAGATTTTAAAAATAGAATTAATAATTTATGTAATTAAAAAATAGAGATTATTTTTTTAAAATGATTTTTTAAAATTATTTTTTAAAATATTAGTATCCTTGATATCTTTTCATATGTATTTTAATCTTAAAATATAATTTTTATTATATTCTAATATTTCTATTTCGTAAAATTTAGAAAATTCTTAATTTCTCGTTTGTTTCACATTTTATCTTTAATAGTTTAACAGATTACACGATTAGTAGCGTTAGAAACTATAAACTATAAAATCATTTTGATAAATCAATGAAAATTCTGTTTTTCTAATTAATAATATCTGTTAATAAATTGTGACAATAATGGAATTATATACTATTTTCCTGTTCGAAAATTGTAATGTAATTTTCCTTACTTATTTGAAAGATATTCTAACGAGAATAGATCAGATGATAAAAACAACGTTAGAATAGACGAAGGTGTATATAAATATGCAGTTGCAATTCTAGAAGAGGAAGCAAACCTTGTCATTCGTGTTATGTGGGCGTCCAAGGTGAGCCTTTGCGATCATACGATGAACGTTCTAATAGATACGTTTTACAACACTTTAAACAGTGCTTTTTAATACGAACGAATTTATGTCAACAACATTATGTGCTAATTATTATAAAAAATCCAATGTTTCTGCTAAATCTACGAAAATGATAAAAAACAATATAATGAAAAATATTTAAATATCATATTACATTAAATAATATCAAAAAAATATTAAATAAAAACAATATGTTACATAAATATTTTAAGTTAATATATAATCATAATTTATTCTATATTCCTATCCGTTGAAACGTAGAATCAAGCATTGGTATTTCAGAAGTCTTGCTATACCGACAGATAAAATTTTCACTAGCTTTAATATTCTGTTTCTTTACGACCATGAACAAATAACAAAGGTGCACTCGCATAATTAAAGGAATTCGAGTAGCAGATAATGGATACATTTCAAATTAACAAAACAATTCTTTAAAGTATTAATTAACTTTAATTATTTTATCAGTATTTCATGATCTTTAATAAAATCTTTAAAGACGAATTCCTATTTTTATGTACTTCGCATTTATGAAATACAAAAGAATAGAAACTCATATGAGTAAAAGAAACTTGAATGAAGAATAAAATACATGCAAATGTCTTCGAATTATTTCGATCAAAGATTCCATTTTATTACAAGAGTTGATTTTATTTTATTCGATTCTATATGGAAATGAAAAAATTTTCCTAAAATTTTAATTAATTTAAACTTGAAATTTAAATTTAAATTTGAAATTTAATTGAAATTTAAAATATATCTAGATGAAATTTGTTTATTAAAAATTAATGAATAACATATTGACAAAAAAAAGTTTGTCAATTTATCAAAAGAAAATTTGCAGTATAAAAAAAATAAAAAAATTATTTAGCAATATTTAGATATATCAGATTTAAAATCAAAAAAAAAACAAATTTAGAAAATACAAGAAAATAAATAACCATAGAAAAAGACAAAGAACATAAAACAGAGAACGAAAAGTTTATATTTATGCAAAATCATTAATTTTTCCTATTTATATATTTTATATATTTCACGAAATAATAATTAATGAATATATCTAGTTTTCAGTTTATGATAAAAATTAGAAAATACAAACTTTTTAAAGAATATATTTTTTTATTGTATCGAATCCAATTAAAAAAACAAACAAGAAGACTGGATTATTTTATCTCATGAATCAGTTATTAATGTAAATTTTAATCTAGCCATATATGTAGCTTTCATTATTATTAGAAATATTTATTTATGATATAAATATAATATTTTATTAATTTAATTGAATCATGGAATAAAAATTCAATTGAATTTGAAAAAAATAAGAATTTTAAATTGCCATTAAAGTAAACTTGTATTCTCGACTTCTTTAGCTTCGCTAGGATCTTTGTTTTTGTCTTTAACAACACAATAACATAACATAATCGAACAATATTCTTTTTAAAATAAATAATTATATGTTTTTTTATTATTATTTTTATTATTTTTTTTTAAATTCTAAAATTAATGCAATGTTAATGAATTATTCTCAAATTATTTTACAAATTTTTGAATTGAATAAAATTTAACAAAACACAAAACACAAATTAACTGTAACAAAATTAAGAAGATTTGGAAAAGAATTTTCAAGAGAAAAAAATATAAAATATATAAAAAAGTTGAAAAATAATATTCATAATATTATAATGAAATGACATCAAATTTTATAAAAAGTTTTTAAAATCGCAATATTAAACATTCAAGATTGTAAATTTATAAGGATCAAAGACGTTTAATGTTTTTTTTGAAAAAAGATTATTATTAACATTAGTAAATATGTATGCACGAAAAGGCGAAATAAAGAGAAAGAAATTTTTCTAGAAATTTGAAAGCTCCCTATTGAAAAACGAATACATCCAATTCACTTTAGCGCTTACAAATTTAATGTAAGCTTCAACAAAGACTGATCGATGTTACAAGACACGAAAGAACTCGGTATAGAGACTATCATCGTTCTAGAAAAACTGACACATTCGTTCATGAAAGTCTACATAGAAAATAATAAGCGAAACACGATATTATATCATGCAAAAATCAATTTCTTACGTATCGAGGTCAAATATACATTTATTACTTTTTTTCTCTTTTTTCTCTTTTAATTATTCATGTCATGTTGATTTCTTATATCAAGAATGAAATGAAAGTAGAAACTACAAACAACAAATTTTTATGGTAATATTAAAATAATCGATTTGTTTCTATAAAGAATAGACGCAATTAAAAATATCACAGCTTTTTCTCGTTTCTATGCGAAATACCTTTGTTCTTTGTATCTCAAATAGTCACTATATAGACAAAAAAAATAGAAATTATTATTCAGTATTGTCACGTGATTTATCATAACATTTGATAAAAAAAAATAATTTTTATCCATCTCAGTTTCTTTATTATTTATATTTTTCTTTTTTTATATATATTTATTTATATAAAATTTGACACTTTGCGTCATTTTCATGAACTATTCAGTTGAGGTTGGAATACGGCAGTGACGTCTCAATTACCGTTGGTCGCGCACTCCATTTCAAATCAACGTTATATATATGTCGTTCTTTGACGCGCGACTTTAAATATTTACGCTCACCAAGAAATATATAAATATAAAAAGTATTCAAAATACTTTTCATCATTCATCATTCGAATTATTTAGATCGAAATAAGAAACTTGTTAAATAATAAAAGTCGAGATACAAAGAAAGCGAAAGAAAGAGATAAAATACAAAAAAAAATGGAAAGAATGAAATCTAACCTCTAGAACCTACAACTGTATATCACACTCATCGTGCGTTAAACGAACGAGATAAAGCTGCGCACACACGACTACAGGGACGTAGTCAGCTGGTTAAAAACAGCTGTGTCCCGTCATCGACGAAACGAGGAATTAAATATCCCTCATCATCATGAAACACCATGACATTGCAACGCGTTGTTTCTCGTCGACCTATAAACTGATCATACCTGATAAACAAGCGATCCAGCCGTATCATGCCATGCATACTGCGTAGTCTTGCATTCGCAACCATGTGCAGGCCTCTCTTGCACTCGATTGCAAGCACGTGCGATAGAGCGAAAGAGAAAGAAAGAACGAGAACAAGAGAAGTAGGGGATAGAGGGGAGGACAAAGAAGGAATGAAGTGGGGATGAAAAAAAGAAAAAGAAGGCAGAGATACAAATAGCGAGTAGAAGAAATAAAAGTGAATTTCAAGGATACAATTTGAGAACGTCCGTGTCCATACGTCGTTTTCCAGCGCTGGGGGACGACATATTTATCGTCTATTAACGCAGCAGAGCCCTTCGCAGCAAGTCCTTGAATCAGCTGAGCTCGATTGTCGTTTCAGAAGGGCCTCTGACTGCTTAGGATTATTTACCACAGCAGAACCCGCGAAAGAATTGGTTTTTCACCACTATGATATAACACACTCTGTTTTCCCGTACAGTTATTCAGCACCGAGAAAAAAACAAAGACACGCGCGCGTGATGGTCGCTAGTCAGTCGTTGGATGTTCGACGCTCGCCACGAAGGAAAACGACACGGGACGAATTCCGCGACGTCAGCGTTTAATGATGTTTTCTATGGATGAACGAGCGTACGATCCCTTGAAGAGCAGCGATATACAAAAGATCTTCCTCTTTGTCCAGGCGGACCAAGTCAAAAACTTCGGGCTAGAGAATCATTTCACCATCACCAACGACGACCCGTTTAGAGACTCGTACTGTCGACACGTTTCTCGCGCACACAGAAAACAATTCTTTCCCCTAAACCTCCTCCGCCTCCACCACTACGAAACGCCTGTTCTCGTGCACCCCACTGTCAACTCACGGACTTCACCGCATCTGATTCCGTTTCTACACTGCTCTCTTGCTTGCTGCTACCTCTGTCTCACGTTGTGCCAGTGAATGCGCGCGCACAATACAAAATCCCTGCTATGATCCACGAATCGCCACTGGTTCTTTCGGTCAACCAATATCACTAGAATTATATATCGACTACGATAAACTTCTATTACTTTTTATCTCTCTTTTAAAATTCAAATTCCATACTTAAAAAACCAATAATTTCAAATATAAATATATTGAAGTTTCAAAAAATATATTACTTACTCATCGTAATCTTATTATTCGATATTTTTTCTATATGAATGACTTACGTCATAGATAGAATATACATTTAGATAAAATATTAATGTGTAATATTATATTTTATAAATAAAATATAAGAAATAAAAAAAGACGCTTATAAATACCGCTTATGAAATTATATTATTATATAACCATTTATATTATAAATAATTTACGATTTTAAAATATATCAAGTATTTATAACATAATTACATAAAAGTAAGTAGTATGATTACGCGTAAATTTAAATATTAATTGATTTTATATATTAATATAATATGTTAAATTTAAAAAAATAAATATATACACTTTTAAAACCTACTAAGTTAAATTACTAGTTCTTGGTAACACTGTGATTTAGTTTGTATCAAAGATATGTGTGTGGAACTTGAATTTAAATATAATATAATAATTATATTTGTATAATTATTAATAAAATATAAGCAATATAAAAAATACTTATAAATAATATATAAATACCTTTTTGAATCAACAATATAAAATTCAATATTTATTAAATTTTAAGAAACTTGACATTTGGAATTAACCCATCACACGCATATTATAATAAATCAAATGAGCACGTACACTGATAAAATTATAAGGAAGAAATTCAATTAAACAGCAATTATTCTCATGAATGAATAAATTGTAAAGAAAAAGAATTGAATTGTTCAGTGAGTCAAATGTCGCACAATTCGCGTTTTACACGGACGTTTAATAACGTTAAAACAAAAGACACCTATTATGACAAAATTAGCATGTACATAACGTATAATAATACTGCAATATTTAGTAACTCAGTAAAATTATTCTAACGAATTGATTTATTTAAAAAATGTATAAAAATTACGAATATAAAATTTCATCTAATATACAACAGAAAAATATCCCAATTGAATACTGTACCAAATTCACAATAATAAATACACAGAAGTTTGAGATCCTTAAAATACATTACATGTTATATGTTTTACATTTTTAAAATCATTTTAAAAATATGACAAGTCATAATATACAAAAATTTGTTTCATATTATTGTTCATTAATACATTTCAATGAATACATTGAAGTTATAAAAAATACTAATTCTGTTGCCTCTCAAATATAAGTACTCTATATATAAGTAACTAATGTGCACTAAATTCACTCTATTAAAGTGTTACAATTCTATTGCACTCTTTTTCTGTTCAGGTCTACTTTGTTGCATGCATACATCTTAAATTCTAATAATTATATTAATAATGCATCAAAGTTAATAAAAATTTATATGAAATGTATATGATATTAAAAATTTATCGAGGAACTTTTAATACTGCCAAAAGTAGATTTTTGCATAATAATAATACAGAAAAAAATTTAACATACAATTTCAATATCACATAACTATCATTATAATGCTTTATGTTATTAAAATGAATGTTAATTATGGATAAATGCCCAATACTGATATGTTCTATAAAACGATGGAATAGAGTATTTATTATTAAAGAGAGACTGATTCATTAAAGGCTATTATTGTAGGTATGGCAGTACTATTATAATATTGTTTAATTTAGTACTATTATAATTTTATTTATATATGTGAAAAAATCTTATTGGAAAAAATATATTTAGATTTAAAATGGAATGTTTTAAAATGTTTTAAAATAGCAATACCTACGTGTTATTCTAGCATGATCATATATGAATATGATACATAATCATCATGAAAATATTAAAAAATATTTCAGAGATAAAATAATTCTCTATTCGTTTTACTTAAAAATACTTAATAAATTGTTAAGTATATAAAATATTAAGTAAACGTATTAAAGAAAAAGTAAAGCTTTAAAAGTATTCTTCTTAATAAATAATTAATTTTGGCATCAAAAGATTACTTGTCAGAGTATTATCAGTCCTTGTATTCTCTATAAATATCGAAAATTCTTAATTCATATTTATAGCTTTCTATGCTATGTTTAAGTACAAAATTGTTGACTGGTCGGTTGTCACTTCTATTTTTTATAAAAAAAAAATGTGTACCATTTATTCTACAGCTGTTTTTCGTGCAAATGCTGTCAAAGACAACATTTCATTAGGATCAGTGGATAAACGTGAAAATTCAATTTCTTCACTAATACTATTTTCTGAAATTGAGAATATAGTGTAATAAATAATTAATAAAAAAAAGTATAGAAATATATACAGAAAATATGATTTACCAGATGGTTCAATAGGCCATTGTTTATGTGAAGGAGCATATAAGCATAATAATGCTATGGTATAAATATTCCACATTCCATATACACCAGTAAAAAATGCTGATGTCATTTCCAAATGTAATTCTTCATCCCATTTCCATTGCCCTTCTGCAACCTACGTATGTAATACTTTAGTACATTAATTTATTTCTTCTAATATTTTAAATACAAAATTTGAATAAATACCTGGCCAAGAATAAAACCAACAACTGTTAAGGATGCACATAATAATGTAGCAATCATCAAAAATTTAAATCGATATATTACACCTTCATAGTGTAAACGCCGTGCTGAACTCATGCTAGGTAATGCAGCTCTTTTTGCACTAATATTCATGAATACTTTCCATATCATATAAGCTAAAAATATTAAGTACATGCCAGCAGATATTCCAGCTAAAATTATAAATGATAACTGTTTTATATTTAAAGTCAAGGAAAATTTTTATAATATAAAAAGAAAAATTTTAGTATAAAAGGATACAGCAAATTTAGTCCCAAGATCTGTTACCCAAATTGAATAAAATGGATTTCGTAATTGTACTCCACGTTCACACATATCAAATACAAATAATGATAAACATCCAATACCCACTGCAGAAAGATGACGCCAATAACATTTTAAAGAATTTCTTTGTTCACCTTCCTAATTGGAAAGCAAAATAAATTATATTTCTGACATAAAAATGCAATTATATAAAAAAATTATGAGTAAAAACAAACCTGTATCTGATGTGATGAAAGACAATGGATGAAAAGAAAGAATCTATTAATATATAAGAATCAAATTACTTAAAATCAATTTAATATATATAAACATTTTACCATAAGATGTTCTCCAGCAAATACAAGCCAAAAGGATAAAAGAATTGCATAGAATACTCCTTGTCTAATATCACCCAATAAAAGCATAAATGGCATATCATATGCAAGTGTTAAATATTCCAAAGGCACTAAAAGAATTATATTTGTATAAATATAATCAATTTTCATGTATCAAATACATTATATTAATCTATAAATTACTTACTATTTAAAAATGATAGAGCTATGCCTAGAGCTAAAAGTAAATATTCCAAAAGAGCTGGTGATCTAGAAAGCATATGTACCCGCCTCCAATACCAAGTAAGAACACATAAAACAATTGGAAAATAAATAGTTTTTAAACTAACCCATACTTTTGTAAATCCACCATTTTGATTGATAGCCTGAAAATTAGATGTTAATTTAGGAGTTCAGTTTTTTATGAATGCAAAAATAGTTTTATAAAAATATTTTAAATACTATATATTTACTGTAAGCCACAAATCAGTTATATGACCTAAACCCTGATTGATATTTCTGTCAGTATCAGCAGGAAGACGAATATTTAAAAGATAATAATCATGAAATAGAGATCCAAGTTCAAATAATGGTACCACGCTACAATTATAATTATACTGTTCCAATGCCTATAAAAAAGAATTATTTGTAAATAAATATACATTTACTATATTCAAGTATAATAAAATAATCAAGTAAGTATAATAATATTTACATCATCAATACTACAATCTAGAATTCTTTCTACCACAGAAGCAGCATATGGTTTCCAACCATCATCTGGATCACCTTTATTTCTGTAAGCAAGTCTTGCATCCAATGTTATTTTGGTCCTAGGAGCTGTAAAATATAATAATTAATACATATAAATAAAACAATATTTTATATATATATATATATATATATATATATATATATATTATTATATTATTATT